TGCTTTATGACAAACACCAGTGGGGAAAAAATGAGGAATCGGGACAGGGTCATATAGAAGAACCAACGTGGCAACAAAACTTTAAAGGGTTGTTGTAAGTTTTTTTGGGCTATATGGCCATGTTCTAGAAGCATTCTCTCCTGACGCTTTGCCTGCATCTATGGCAAGCATCCTCAGAGGTTTTGAGGTCTCACAACAAGCATCCTCAGAACTGTGGAATACATTGCCTGGGAGTTAGTGCAATCTCCTTCTTGGAAGGTTTTTGAACAAAGATGGAATGGCTATGTATGGGGAGCAATTTGATTATATTCCTGCATGGCACAATGGGGTTGGACTGGATAGCCCTTGGGTCTTTTCCAAATGTATGAAACAATTCTTCCATGAATGATCAGAGTGTTGGGGTGGGATTTTACTTGTGTGAATACTGGGCATTTCAGTTCTGCTTGTTCAACAGTGACTTTCTATTGTTATGTTCTATTGAACCAGGTTATGGTGCAACTGGTTGGGAGTCAACTGCATTAAAATCACTACTGACCAAAAGTTCATGACTTCGAAGCCAGCCTGGGTCAGAGTAAGCTCCCGACCATTTGTCTAGCTTGCTCAAAAGATAGTTGCATCTGTCAAGTAGGAGATTTAGGTGCCGCTTATGCGGGGAGGCTAATTTAACTAATTTACGATGCCATAAAACTTTCCAGCAGCGTACAAAAGAATGAGGAAGTACTCCATCGGTGTCACAAGTGGACAGTGAAGCGACCGCTCCCCCGGTGGCCGGAATTCAAAACATAGCCTCGGGAAGCTGGAAAGTTAAATAGCCTCTGTGTGTCTGTCTATATATGTTGTGTGTCTATGGCACTGAACGTTAGCCATGTATATGTGCATTGTGATCCAACCTGAGTCTCCTGCAGGGTGAGAAGGGTGGAATATAAAAGCTGTAAATAAATAAATAAATAAATAAATAAATCAGTGGCAAACCACTTTTAGAAGTATGGCATGTTTTTTAGATCAGTATGTTATGACAAAAATATTTTTTTGGGTCCAAGAATTTGGGATACAAGGTAACTCTTGGATCACAGCTGTTATTGACACTTTTTGCAAATAGTCATTAAGTGAGTGTCTAAAGCAGAAGAAGCACAGCGCACACTCATTCTCACTTTGAAAAAAAATGTATATAACCAATTCATGAAACTTTCATAAAGGCAATTGCTCTGGCTTTAATAGACATCAATGACTAGTTCTTAATCTGAATTTTCTAGTACGAAAAATAAGAAATGGATGAAATAAGAAATGAAAAAAGCAGGTGCTTGTTGTTTTTTTTAAAAAAAACTTAAGATATTTCAATTAACTTTACAAAACTCTACAAATGACAAAAAAACCCGGAAAGAAACTGCTCAAATTAGCATAGATTAAATGGTGACCACAACAGCAAGCGAGCTACTGTCAAAAGAAATGGCTTTTTTTGCTTTGTTGTAAAAGTGATTAAAAAAATACCAAAGTCTATAAAACTCTGGGAAAAAAAGTCTTGGTAATTACCAAGATCAAAATCCAGTGGCTTTTTATTAAACATGAACTTTTGTTCTGCTTTTCTGCACAACGTAAATAGTGCTGACAATTGGGTTTGCAAAGGCACTCGCTACAATAAAATGTAATTGTATCATGAGAGAAAGGTGACAATCGGGAGATCATGAAAAAATTACATATTCTCACTGGTAGTTAATTAGCCATGCAAAAGCCCCTCAAACAGAGATTCTCTTCTATTAGGAATGATTACTATGCAGACCTACAGATGTCAATACTGGAGTCATTCAAATACTTCTTTCGCTACTAATTGAAGGTTGTAAAGCTCTGGTGCCAAGGTTTGGCTTCCAAAGAGCTAATTTATGACTAGGCGGCTATTTTATGTCTTCAGTTGCCGCAGCTACAAAACTCGGCAAATCAGAACCATCTGTGCACAGAGATTTGAATCGCCATTCATCTCGCAGCCGATCAGTCACATTAGTTTGCATCCCACATTTTTTGGCTCATGTAGGATTGCGGAGGTCTAAAGTTCACGCGGAATATTAAAAATGAATGGCACCTTGACCCTGCCTTATTGAACGCGCATCGGCAAATACGCCGGGCTCATCTATATGGCGGGAGACAACAACTGATGTTTCAAAGCGGATCCAGTAAATGCTGCTAATCATACCAGTCTAAGTTTATTAAAAGAGTGCTTAAGGGTTTCAAGAAATATTGTATGCCAGCAGACTTGGAAGATGGACAGAAAGGAGTGTTGTAAGAACAGGATGCTTACCTGAAATTATTTTGAGTCTGTGAATTTGGTTTCCACGCAAGCATCAGAACCCATTATATGATTTCACAGATGACCACAAAGAAGAAGAACAGGTTGCAAATGTGGCTCATCAAGTATTGACAAGCTGGAATGTTTCCAGAGGAGGGCGACTAAAATGATCAAGCCCTATGAGGAGCGGCTTAAGGAGCTGGGCATGTTTAGCCTGAAGAAGAGAAGGATGAGAGGAGATATGATAGCCATGTATAAATATGTGAGAGGAAGCCACAGGGAGGATGGAGCAAGCTTGTTTTCTGCTTCCTTGGAGACTAGGACGCAATGGAACAATGGCTTCAAACTACAAGAGAGGAGATTCCATCTGAACATGAGGAAGAACTTCCTGACTGTGAGAGCCGTTCAGAAGTGGAAATCTCTGCCCTGGAGTGTGGTGGAGGCTCCTTCTTTGGAAGGTTTTAAACAGAGGCTGGATGGCTATCTGTCAGGGGTGATTTGAATGCAATATTTCTGCTTCTTGGCAGGGGGTTGGACTGGATGGCCCATGAGGTCTCTTCCAACTCTTTGATTCTATGACCATCTCTGAATTCACACAATGGGTTTTGTTGCTCATGCAAGCTCCCAATGTTGGAACTCAGCCCGTGATTGTGTTTCAGGATCAGGGTGCTTTGGATGTGGGGAGTGACGTCAATGAGTTTCAAGATGGCAATGGTTTGGCCGGTGATATTGATGCAGAGAATGACCATGAGATCCCTGTTCAAAGTGTAGTTTCTCACAAGAATGCCCCTGATGAGTGTGGGGATGATGGTATGCTTTTTGAATTGTTACCAGAGGGTTTCCATGATAGGGAACATGAAAACAGCTCGACACCTGGCCCAGCTGCAGAAGTTAGTGAGCAAATAGATAAGACGTGAGAAGATCAGTCAAAAGAGGAGAGCCAAACAGTAGCTTCGGCGTTCTGACAGGCCCCGAGAAAAAAAGATAAGAAATTCTCAACTAAAGCGAAACCAATTTCTGAGTGCTAGAGATATAGCTAACGAGGTGATAAAAGTCCCAAATACAGGATATGTAGTCAGATGAAGCATTGTTTGGAATCTAATCAAGATCCCGTCCTTGTTCATGGAAACTTTGCTTGGAAAATTCATGTTTTAAGTGCCTTTGTTTCATGGTTTTGATTCTTGGATTCTATGCTTTTATATTCATGCCTTGGGTTTATGTTTCCTGATTTCTTGCATTTTATTTGGGAAGTTTTGACTTTGTTTTTATGGACTTTGCTGGACTATTACCCTGGACTACTTTGTTCCTGCTTATCTTCCTACCTAATTGGATTTACCTATTTCTTTAAAGTGCTTTTTTTTAAACCTTACTGCTTTTTAATTATTTTCAATAAAGGGATTGTTTTCCATCCAAGGGTGTGGTGTCAGAGGGCTTTTCCTGTCCTGGAGTGCAACATCCAAACACAGTGTGGAATTTCAGATAATACTGTGTCCAATTCTGGGTCCCACAATTGAAGAAAATCAGGTGGATGTAAGAAGTAGAAATAAATAACTGTCATTCAAGCCTGTTCACTGTGATATTATTTGAGCAACCTTTTCCATTCAGCAGATAAATAAACCTGCCCAAATCTATAGATGTAACTCGCACAAAAAATTTGGGTCAAAAGAAGTCTTTGGTTCCTCCCTTCCTTCAGTGCTGTCACACACTATTGAAATACAATCGCAGAAATAAAAATAAGGAAAGAGGAAGGAAGACAATTGTAGGTAACATTTTAGATCACCAGGTAAGGTAAAGGTAAAGGTTTTCCCCTGACATTAAGTCCAGTCGTGTCCAACTCTGGGGGTTGGTGCTCATCTCCATTTCTAAGCCGAAGAGCCAGCATTGTCCACAGACACCTCCATGGTCATGTGGCCACCATGACTGCATGGAATGCCGTTACCTTGCCACCGGAGCAGTACCTATTGATCTACTCACATTTGCATGTATTTGAACTGCTAGGTTGGCAAAAGCTGGGGCTAATGGTTTAGATCTGCCCCCTCACTCATGACCTTCCGGAAGAAGCTCAAACCATGGTCATGGGATCAAGCGTTTGCAGAATAGATGGTTTTAACAGACTGTTTTTAGCTGATGGAGTGAAGATGGTTTTAACTGACAGCTATGGATTGATTTGGAGGATGACATGTAATTGTGAATTGTTTCAATGTATTTCTAACTGTTTTTAATGTAGCTAAAGTGTATATTATGTTGTGTATTGTTCGGCACCGAATGGTGCCTGCTGGTAGCTGTCCTGAGGCAAGAAGGATGGGATAGAATGCTCTTAATAAACAATAATAAATAAATAGGTTGGCAAAAGCTGGGGCTAACAGTGGGAGCTCACCCTGCTCCCTTGATTCAAACCTGCAACCTTTTGGTCAGCAAGTTCAGCAGCTCAGCTCTTTAACCCACTGCGCCACCGAGGGCTCCAGAGATCACTAGGTACTAATGCCAAAAGTGGGAGAGATCAAATATTGAACTGAGGAAAATCAATGCAATTACTTTTTTTTACCTTAAAGATACTGTTAATCCCCCCTCCCCTTTTTTTGGTAATTAGCATCTTAGTGATTTTTTGAAAAACCCAATGAATCTCGTGCATCCCATCGCAATGTCATTTCCTCCCAAATGCTGGTACCGGCGTTATCTTATGTTTTTACGCAGTCTTGACCTCTCTTGTCTAATTACTTACTTTCCTGTGATGAGCAGCTCTTTCATTTGGAGTGCCTTCATCGGTGGTAAAATCCAGCATGCCATTATAGGATATCCCTTTATGCCCCAAGCCACTCAAGAGGATTTTCTTCAATGCTTCATAGTCAGGTTTTTCATGGTATGCTAAATTAGACGCCTTTTCCAAAAACATGGCTATCTCACCTGTAAAACACAATGTTTCAATAGACTGGAGATCAGAAACATCCAATGTTAAGAGCAGAAGGTCAGCTGTGATGAAGCAGAACAAAGGTCCATCAGTTCTAAGAGGCTCCTTTTCATGGTGGTCAACCAGATGCCTCCGAGAAGCAGGAACATGTTGATGGAAGTAGGAACATGTTTTAGCAGATCAAGAAGGCACCTGCTATAGATTAAGGAGGCATATGTTGTGGCAATTACACTGCCAATGAATTTTGTACAGAAGAAAGAGAGAAAAGAAATGGACCTCTAGAAGATACCAGGAAGTCAAAATAACTTCCATGTCTCTCTATATCTATCTCTTAATTTTAGATATAAAACTTCTTTTCTATACTCTTTTTCCCCTTTGTTTCTTCTTACTGTTTTCAGACTTATTACACCTTTTTGGACACAGACATATTGACTTTACATTTTTTTTCTTTTTTTCCTTTTTTATTTTCTCTCTTTTTATTGTAAACCAAAAATTTCTAATAAAGATTATTTTTTTAAAAAGAATCTTGTACAGTGTTTTTATTATTTACTAGCTCTACCCACCACATGTTGCTGTGGCCAACCTTCCCTCCCTCCCTCTTCTTTCTTTCTCTTTTTACTTCTCTCCCTCTTTTCTTCTTTCCTTCCTTTTTTTCCTCTCCTCCCCCCTTCCCTTTTTTCTTTCTTTCCTTCCTTCCTTCCTTCCTTCCTTCCTTCCTTCCTTCCTTCCTTCCTTCCTTCCTTCCTTCCTTCCTTCCTTCCTTCCTTCCTTCTTCTTTGTTTCTTTCTCTCCTTCCTTCCTTTTTTTCTTTATCTCCTTCCTACCCTCCCTCTTTCCTTCCTTCCCTTTTTTCTTTCTCTCCTTCCTTCTCTCTCTCTTTCCTTCCTTCCCATTTTTCTCCTTCCCTCCCTCTTTCCTTCCTTCCCTTTTTTCTTTCTCTCCTTCCTTCCTTCCCTCCCTCCTTCCCTCCCTATTTTTCTTTCTTTCTCTCCTTCCTTCCCTCCCTCTTTCCATCCTTCCTTCCTTCCCTTTTTTCTTTCTCTCCTTCCTTCCTTCCCTCCCTCCTTCCCTCCCTATTTTTCATTCTTTCTCTCCTTCCTTCCCTCCCTCTTTCCATCCTTCCTTCCTTCCCTTTTTCTTTCTCTCCTTCCTTCCCTCCCTCTTTCCTTGCTTCCTTCCCTTTTTCTTTCTTTTTCTCCTTCTGTCCCTCCCTCTTTCCATCTTTCCTTCCCTTTTATTCTTTCTCTCCTTCCTTCTTTCTCTTTTTCTTTCCTTTCCTTCGCCCCAACTTTTCTTTCCCTTCTTTCTCCCTTCTCTCTACCTATTCTTGGACTGCAACTCCCAGCAGTCCTCCTGATAGATTCACCTATCTACCTACCTACCTATCTCTATCTAATCTATCTATCTGGAAGATTGCTGGGAGTTGCAGTCCAGGAATAGGAAATTGGAAATATGCGGAGATTTGGATGCTCTCAAAGAAATCCAAGGAGAAGAAAGCTTGCATCTTGAAAGCAGTGCAATTGGATCATCCTCCGCTCCTAAAGGGCCTGGTCTAGGGGGATGCTGGGAGCTATAGTCCAGAAGAGAGTGTAGATACGCTATTGTGTGTTTTGTTTGCCGGGGGGAGTCATTTTTGCACATGCGTAGTAGCGTCTTTTTTTGGCTTTTTAAGTCCCTTCCACTGTGTTTTTCAGTGTTTTTATGAGTGATGGTCACTCGCTGGCCTGATGGGTGTATTGTGTCCAAATTTGGTGTCAATTCTTTATGAGAAGAGTATAGCAGGGTCTTCCATTTAAAGCAGCAGTTCCCAACATATGGTCCGTGGACCACCAGTGGTCCGCAAGAATTAAAATATGGTCCATGGCCTCACTGTTACTACATCATTGCAATGAGAGCAACTGATCTAGCGGAGCCCTCTTATTCTGCCAAGCCTTATTAAATATGGCTTTCTGTGGTAACTACTAGATGGCATATGTTCTGCATCAGAAACTAGAGCTGATATGGTCTATCCAATGCAATTTTTCTGAGTCAGCACCCCAAATGACCAAACCAGATCTAAAGTTGACCAAAAAACTGATTCGTAAACCTTTTGGTACTCATGTTGGAAAGTGGTCCTTGGTCAAAAAAAAGGTTGGGGAACACTGATTTAAAGTAACACTTTTATGGGTTGTTGTAGTTTTTTGGGGCTATATGGCCATGGTCTAGAGGCATTCTCTTCTGACATTTCACCTGCATCTATGGCAAGCAACAACTACAACAACGTCAGGAGAGAATGCCTCTAGACCAGTGGTTCTCAACCTGGGGTCCCCAGATGTTTTTGACCTACAACTCCCAGAAATCCCAGCCAATTTACCAGCTGTTAGGATTTTTGGGAGTTGAAGGCCAAAAACATCTGGGGACCCCAGGTTGAGAACCACTGCTCTAGACCATGGCCATATAGCCCCAAAAAACTACAACAACCCAGTGATTCCGGCCATGAAAGCCTTCGACAATACATTTAACACTTTTATGTTTGAATGAGCGCTGTGGTAAAGGAGGAAAGACTCCATAGGCTCTTCTAAAGGATTCCATAGATTTGTTTTCTATAGGAAAATAACAGCCAGGCATGAAATTAGCTGCCCCTTTCTCCCCAGTCCCCAGAAGCTGTTTGCTCCTGGGCATTTTAAATAGCAATTAATCAACATGTGCACTAAGTAGCAATTTTGGTGAACTGGATCAAAATGCCACACAAGTTCTATTTAAAACCCTTGACCTGTGTTTGCACTTACCACAGTCAGTACCTGTAGGAGCACACCTTGTCACCGAATCTGGGAGTTCATCGATGAGCCTGAAAGCATAGGAATGCAACAAGAGTGAGGCAGCAAGACACGTCAGGCAGACCACTTACTGCAAGCGGAAGACTCTGGGATGACACTCCCCTTTGGGAACGGAGGAGACCGCCTGAGCAGGTAATCACTCCATCTCGCTCACTCTCTCCCAGCACCAGCTGACCCTTTGGAGAGTGCAACTATTAGCAATAGCCTGAGCAGAATAATGGCCAAGGAAATGTCTTTGCTCTCAAGCGTTCTTGCCAAACGTGTTGTAATTTTATGGGAGGAAGAAATCCCACCCGGGATAAATTTGCCTCCTTTGCTCTCAGTCCAAAGATTAATGACTGCTTTTTTGGAAGTTCAACACAGTTCAGCACAGTTTGTTCATGTTGCTCACAAGGAGAATCTATACACAAATGGTCCCTGATAGATAAATTGCCGCCCAAGCCAATGTCTACTCAGAAGCACTAGTGGGATGTACTCTCAGGTAAGTGTGTTACTGTTCTGCAAAGTAAATAACAATTCTTGGGTTTCGCCAAATTAAACTGTTACTAAAGGAGACAGTTGTGTCCTATAGGCTGATCTGATTAATCTTTGAACAAGCTGTATTCTTTCCTCCGCAATATAACCTCAGTCTCTGTGGAGAACAGGCTCCAAGACCACTGCATGGATACCTGAAGCCATGGATAACAGCTAATCCTGTATTTTGACTATATCTTGGCTAGAGTCATAGCATAGAATTGTACTATGTATAGAATTGTACAGCCACCTCTCCACAAAAGTCAACATTAACACTGAAATACAACACCACCTGAGCTCTGCGAGTGCAGCATTTTTCCGAATGAAGCACAGAGTGTTTGAGGGCCGGGACATCCGTAGGGATACTAAGGTGCTTGTTTATAAAGCTATTGTCCACCCAATCCTGCTATACGCCTGCAAAACATGGACTATCTACAGACGTCACATGCAACTCCTAGAATAATTCCATTAGTGTTGCCTCTGGAAAATCCTGCAAATTTCTTGGGAAGACAAGCAGACAAATGTCAGCGTGCTGGAAGAAGCAAAGACCACCAGCACTGAAGCAATGGTCCTGTGCCATCAACTCTGCCGGACCGGCCACATTGTCCGGATGTCCATCAGCATTGAAGCAATGTTCCTCCGCTATCAACTCTGCTGGACCGGCCACATTGTCCGGATGCCTAACCACTGTCTCCCAGAGCCGTTGCTCTACTCCAAACTCAGGAACAGAAAATGGAATGGTGATGGGCAGGAAAAGAGATTTAAAGATGGGCTCAAAGCTAATCTTAAAAACTCTGGCATAGACACTGAGAACTGGGAAGCCCTGGTCCTTGAGTGCTCCAGCTGGAGGTCAGCTGTGACCAGCAGTGCTGCAGAATTTGAAAACACATAAATGGAGGGCAAAAGAGAGAAACAAGCCAAGAAGAAGGTGCATTAAGCCAACCCCGAACGGGACTGCCTTCCACCTGGAAACCAATGCCCTCACTGTGGGAGAACATGCAGATCAAGAATAGGGCTCCACAGTCACCTACATACCCACTGCCAGTACACCGATCTTGGAAGACAATCCTATTTAGACAACGAGAGATCATGGCCATATAGCCTGAAAAAACCTACAACAACCCAATGAGGGATTGCCTAAGTAATTAAGTAAGGAATGCTCAACTCTAGACACCAAGAAGGAAAGAAAGGACCACTTTATGTGTTTACTGTTTGCTTTCAAGCCCTTTGAAACATTCTAGAGAAAAGTCCCCTTTCTTACTTATCTTCCCAACCCTTTGTTCACCTTGTTTCATTATGTGGTGGTGTAAGAGACACTTAGCTATTCTTTCAGTTTTCAAAAAAACAAAAAAACAAAAACCAATTAAAAAACATTTTAAAGACAATGGGAACCATCGGTAGAAGCGCTCTTTTGTTTTCTATCAGGAAGTATTTCTTTCTCTTTGCTTTTTTTCTGTAGGAAGTCTCAAGTGCCTTCACCTTTTGGCATGACATTCTGTAACACATGTCCTAATTATTTTAAGGACTCCGCAATCTACACTTCCCAGAAGTCAGGTCTCCTAAAATTTGCTTTCCAACGTGTCTGCTGATTGCCTGTACAAGTTTACAGAAAAGGCAATTCACTGCGGTGCCAACACCTCATCATGTTTTCAAAAATTGAATCAATCAGCCCATTGTTGCGCTCCCTGACGCTCAGAGCAAGCCCCACATATGGTTCCTTATGGCTGGAATTTCAGAATCCCTGGACTAGATCACCTTCAGTTGTTTACTGACCTTACCAGTCAGTTGAAGAGCAAAAGGGGGGAGAGGAAATTCTGGCACATGATCATGGTTCTTGCAACGCATTCCTGTCCTGGCTTTCAATTCCCAACATATAACCTGGACACAGACCAGAACACCTGCTCAGAGGACAGAGGTGGCAACAGAAACAAGAGGTGGGAGCCCAGAGGGTGGGCCTGCTTGCCAGAAAGGGTGCCGCGGGAAATGGATTCAAGACCCCAAACAAGCTTTTGCAATTCACTAAAAGCAGACTGGGGAAAAAATACAAAAAAAGAAGTCACTCTTTTTTTTTTTTTAAAGACTGACTAAATATATACTAGTGTTTATATTAAGATAAATTAATGTTAAAAATATACAGGCTGCCATCCTATACAAATGCACCTAAAAGGAATCACAGTTGAATTCAGTATTGTTAACTTACACAATTGCTTCTACATAAGTTTGCATAAGATTGCACTATAGTTGCTTTTCAACAGTGCAGTTCCTTTCTCTTATAAAATATGCGCACTCTGCATTTTATTTTAAAACATTTACATCAAATCACAAAGAACAGAATTTTTTTGGTAATGCATCCATGTTGTTGTGTGCCTTCCAGTCATCTCCCAATGTTGCAAGTCACTTCTGGTCGCTCAGGGGAGCGTGTTCACTCCACCAATGTTTAACATTTACACAAGTGATCAGCCATTGCCAGAAGGGTCAAAGAGTTTCATCTATGCTGATGATCGTGCCATCAGCGCCCAAGCTGGGAGCTTTGAATTGGTTGAACAGAAGCTCTCCAAAACTTTAGGTACTCTTACTGCCTATTACAGGGAAAACCAGCAGATTCCTAATCCATCTAAACCCCAGACATGTGCTTTTTATCTTCAGAACAGACAAGCATCTAGAGCTCTGGGGACTACCTGGGAAGGAATCTCACTGGAGCATTGCAGCACACCAAAATACCTGGGCGTACAAGACCTACAAGAAGCACTGCTTGAGTATCAAGCAAAAAGTGGGTGCTAGAAACAATATCATACAAAAGCTGACTGGCACAACCTGGGGAGCACAACCAGATACAGTGAAGACATCTGCCCTTGCTCTTTGCTACACTGCTGCTGAGTACGCATGTCCAGTGTGGAACACATCTCACCATGCTAAATCAGTGGATGTGGCTCTTAATGAGATATGTCACATTATCACAGGATGTCTATACCCTACAGCGCTGGAGAAATTATACTGTTTAGCCGATATTGCACCTTCTGGCATCCACCAGGAAATAGCAGCCAATAATGAAAGGACCAAGGCATTTCTGGCCCATCCCGTTCAGATACCAGCCAGCACACCAACAACTTAAATCAAGAAATAGTTTTCTAAGATCTAAAGATACTTGCAGGGACACCTCCCAATGATGTTGAAATCCAAATTTTGTCAGTACTAGTCAGTACATATTGGGTCTCCATTATCCAGAAATCCAAAATACTAAAAACCCAAACTTTTTTTCCCACCAGTGACCCACTTCCACCTTTGGGAAAAGGGGAATAGTCACATGTCCAGTGCCCACTGAGTTTTCCATCAAGGGGCAGTGAAAATAATTTTATGGTTGCGGGTCACCTCAACATGAGGAACTGTCGTGGCTTTAGAAAGGTTGAAAATCACTGTCTTGAAATAAAAGCACAAGTAACCCAAAGTAACCCTGTCCCTGAATCCTAGTCACCCTCCGCTCTATCTTTTTAGCTAATGGATCATGGGCAGCTTCCCAAGTTACTTTTGTTGAGATCTCTCCGCCTAAATCTCTCTCATGGGGCTGTCAATGTGTCAACTTCCCTGGTTGTTAATGATGCTTTTATTACCATTGTTTTAAAATCCCAGGGCTTTGCTGAAAATTAGAGGCACTGATTAGAGAAGTGATTTCTATACCAACCTGTCATCTGTCTTTGCAAAGTTTTGAAGAGCATCCATTCGCAAACCACAAGAGCAACCCCAGAGTGCCCAACCCCAACTTACCCACCCTTCCCCGGTCTGGACACTTCGTCTCTAAAAGGTTTGCCATCAATGGTCTATGGTATTCTTTAAGGCAGTGGTTCTCATCCTGTGGTTCCCCAGATGTTTTGACCTTCAACTCCCAGAAATTCTAACAGCAGGTAAACTGGCTGGAATTTCTGGGAGTTGTAGGCCAAAACACCTGGGGACCCGCAGGTTGAGAACCACTGCTCTAAGGGGTCCGTGACGCAAAAGAAATTACCTTCTAAAGAGCTACGGGCATTTAAGAAAAACACCTATTTACACAATATATTTCACAGATGAAAGAAATCAATACATGCAATCTTGGCTCATACTGGGACGGATCAATGCTCCATTCATTCAGCCCTATGGAATAATGAGCTTTGATTCTCCAGGCTTTAGACAAGTGGATCTCAGTATCTGATGTGGTGGACCAGAAATTCCCACCTGTCTGATATGCCGGGGACCAGTACTATATATTGCCCATTGGATACTAGTGCTTCTTTATTGCTTGGAAACTTGCCAGGCAATGGCAACTGGTGGCTTGTAGTGCAGCAGGAGTCCATGGGCCACCACTTTGAATAGCCCTGCCCAAGACATAGATTCTGCACAGTTCAATTAGAAGATGTTCTTTAACTGGACTGAACCCGAAACTAGCATGAACCCTGTATCTCTGAGCAATGACCATCATAGAATCATAGTGTTGGAAGAGACCTCATGGGCCATCCATTTCAACCCCCTGCCAAGAAGCAGGAAAATTGTATTCAAAGCACCCCTGATAGATGGCCATCCAGCCTGTTTAAAAGCTTCCAAAGCAGGAGCCTCCACCACACTTCTAGGCAGAGAGTTACACTGCCAAACAGCTCTCACAGTCAGGAAGTTCTTCCTCATGTTCAGATGGAATCTCCTTTCTTGTAGTTTGAAGCCATTGCTCCGCGTCCTAGTCTCCAGGGAAGCAGAAAACAAGCTTGCTCCCTCTTCCCTATGACTTCCCCTCACATATGTATGCATGGCCTTCATCATGTCTCCTCTCAGCCTTCTCTTCTTCAGGCTAAACATGCCCAGCTCTTTAAGCCGCTCCTCATAGGGCTTGTTCTCAGACCCTTGATCCTTTTAGTCACCTTCCTCTGGACACATTCCAGCTTGTCAACATCTCCCTTCAATTGTGGTGCCCAAAATTGGATACAATATTCCAGGTGTGGTCTAACCAAGGCAGAATAGAGGGGTAGCATGACTTCCCTGGATCTAGACACTATACTATTGATGCTGGCCAAAATCCCAGGGATGTAGCTGGGGGGGGGGGGGTTGGGGGCTTCAGCCCCCCCCCCCAATTCTCATGGTGGTCTGCGAAAAGGCCTTACTGGTACATTATTTAGACTGTTATGTTTATTCATATCATTGTCATCGAGGGCAGCGGAGGCCCCCGCCTTCAAGTTGGTTTGACCTGCAGCAGAGAGTTCCACAGTTCCTAGAAGCCACAATTGGGACAAACTGATGAAATGTGCCCCAAAAGACAGCTCAAACTGGGACTGCACTCAGCCTCTATGCCTTTCTATCACTTTCCCCCAAGCCCTAACATTGTAACTATTCCCCTAATAAAGATACTTGAAATTGCAACTTTTTAACTTTCTCGCTTGATACTTTGTGTCTCTCCCTGCCTGAACTATCAATTTGCATGAAAGTAACCTCTTCCAGGCTCCGGGGAACCACAAGCCTGCCCGGAATGCCTCCTGGCATTCCGGGGACGCCGGATCTGCATTATTTGAAACCACGGATATGGAGTCTCTCCTTTCAGATCTTGGTATCCGCAAAATCACAAAACGGCGGATCCGCTCCATTTTAATGTCGTATTTTTCTGTACTAAATTCTAAACCTATCTGCTATCTCGCTTTTCTTATTTTGGATCACCATGCTCAATATATCTCATATGCATGGAGATATTGGGGTAATGATAAAAAAAAGGTTTGCTGGGGTAGACCCTCTTTCACTCAGACTCAGCCTCCCCCCCCAATCAAACTCAGCCCCCCTCCCCCCAAATCAAAATCCTGGCTATGGGCCTGCAAAATCCCATTGGCTTTTTTTGCTGTTGCATCACATTGTTGGCTCATGTTTAACTTCTTGTCCACGAGGGCCCCAAATAATCATTCAATGGTCCACTTCCAATGATGAATGTACTACATGATAAAACAAATAAATGAAGGGTCTGATATCTAAATGCCTTGAAGACACTAAAAACAGTCTGATTTGGGAAACTAAGCCAAATCAAGGCTACTTAATACTTGGGAGGGAGATCACCAAAGAATAGCAGGCGCTGTAGCCAATACTTCAGAGGATGGCAAACCACCTCTGAGTGTTTCCTAAGAGAACCTTATGAAAGTCACAGGGTTACCATAAGTTGGCAGGCAACTTGAAGGCACATGTGTGTACAGCACTGATTGAGTGAAGGAGTGCTTCAGTGTTGGGACGGGGGCAAACAGGAAATCTCATTCTCCACAGGGTTAATTCTTGGCTGTGGAATTAATAACAAAGCTTGATGGATCGCATTGATTGAAGGCTGAATTGCATAGGGGGATGGTTTGTGGGGAACTCTAATGATCCAAAGTTCTAAAGGGGGGAAAATTTAAACAATACCTGACGAAGTCAACATTTACAGATGCAATCTGTATTATCCGCAGCCTGCAGGCCAACCTCCCTCCCTCCCTCCTTCTCTGCAGAGAGCCACTGCCAAACCGAACGTGCAGATTGATTTCTGCAGATCAGCTATCCCTATTGTGTACCTCTGTTGTGACTTGCCCTACTTAAAAGTTTGCTGCCTTTGCCACTTGTAACATTTCGCTGCGGTGAGGCCGGTGTTCGGCACACCGAGGAATTGGCTTTGTGGGGCCATGAGCAATTAGCTGACTTAAGTCCCACCAGTAAAAGCAAAGGAGCAACAATGGGCAGTATGTTTAGCCTGGGATAATTACTGTATACATGTGGGGTAGGGAGAAGCGTATTGTAAATTTCCCTCCGCATATATCAATCGCCTTTTATGTAAATATTCCAAATGGGGAGGGGAGGGGGGATGATGGAATCTACACTTTTTTTAATCAACTAAGTTATCCAATGACACAATTATTATCACGTGCCATAAAACATTGGTTCCAATCCAGCAAAGTAATGTTATGACTCCATACTCATAAAACCAAAGGAACACAAACCTACTTTTGGTGGAACTTCCCACTATTTTAAGATCAACTGGGTCAAAGTATCCTCACCACCACCAATTTAAATAATAAAATCAAAGAGTTGGAAGAGACCTCGTGGGCCATCCAGTCCAACCCTGCCAAGAAGCAGGCATATTGCATTCAAATCACCCCTGACAGATGGCCATCCGGCCTCTGTTTAAAAGCTTCCAAAGAAGGAGCCTCCACCACACTCCGGGGCAGACAGTTCCACTGCTGAACGGCTCTCACAGTCAGGAAGTTCTTCCTCATGTTCAGATGGAATCTCCTTCTTGTAGTTTGAAGCCATTGTTCCACGTCCTAGTCTCCAAGGAAGCAGAAAACAAGCTTGCTCCCTCCTCCCCCCTGTGGCTTCCTCTCACATATTTATACATGGCTATCATATCTCTCTCAGCCTTCTCTTCTTCAGGCTAAACATGCCCAGCTCCTTAAGCCGCTCCTCATAGGGCTTGTTCTCCAGACCCTTGATCATTTTAGTCCCCCTCCTCTGGACACATTCCAGCTTGTCAATATCTCTCTTGAATTGTGGTGCCCAGAATTGGACACAATATTCCAGGTGTGGTCTAACCAAGGCAGAATAGAGGGGTAGCATGACTTCCATGGATCTAGACACTATGCTAACTTCTTGCGCAGGGGACATGCTAATCTTCTCTGTATCGTTCCAATTTTAGTATATGTGCTGCCGAAGTAGAAAAGGCAAAACATCATTGATAAGTTCTAAAAAAAAAAAAAAATCTGACCCGTTCTCTAAAAGTTTTTAAGGCTGCTTACACCCTATAAGCTGAAACCTAATAAATATATTAAGCAATAGCACATAAAAATGAAGAAGATAAGCCATTCTATTACCCAAAAAGTCAAATGTAGAGAAATGCCGGCCACATGTCCTTGGAGGTGTCTATGGACAATTTAGGAACAAGGGCACTAAAATGATACCAGTCTAAATATTCAGAAGGCACGCGATCAAGTCTGTTTTTGGAAGCTAAGTAGGAACAGACCTGGTTAATATTTGGATGGGAGTCCGCCAAGAAGTAAAGGTAAAAGTAAATGTTTTCCCCGACATTAAGTCTAGTCGTGTCCGACACTGGGGGTGGTGCTCATCTTCATTTCATTTGGTTTTGGTTTTATTTTGTTGTAATGTACTACTGGGCTCAGCCTCATGTAAGCCCTTTGGGGAGATGGTGATGGGATATAAATAAAGACTATTATTATTGACACAAAAGCACAGTATGTCACAGGAAATGAGATCTATATGCTGGATTTCGTATCACAAAATCACAAGTCGAACACTTCTCAAGCGTCTAGGACTGTGTGATGTATTTTCAAATTATGCGTGCAGATCAAAGTAAGGTGGCCTTATTATTATTATTATCATCATCATCATCATAATTATTATTATTTCTAAGCCAAAGAGCCAGCATTATCTGTAGATGTCCCCAAGTTCATGTGGCCAACATGACTATGTGGGATCAAATTTTGGGTGAACATATGATCCCTATGAGCGCCTTAAACTAGCACTGCTTACTTTTAGCAGTGGCAGTTCTCCAAGGTTTCTCAGAAGGCATCCTTACTCTGAATTCTTTCAACAAGGGCTGCTGGGAAGCTAACCTGCATTATTATACATGCAGAGTCTGCACTCTCCTACTAAGATACAGTAGATCTTGGGGTGTTGCCTTTGGGGGCAGCATCACCAATGGGGGCTAGTCCAAAAGGGTAACTTTTCTGACCTGCAATAATACAGTTGCCTTGGGGTGGCCATAATTTGGAATTAACTATATGGTATATTGCCCCCTGTATACCATAAACCTCTGAGCTGTTGAACTTGCTGACCGAAAGGTTGGCAGTTCGAATCTGGGGGGTGGTGTGAGCTCCTGCTGTTAGGCCCAGCTTCTGCCAACCTAGCAATTAGAAAACATGCCCATGTGAGTAGATTAATAGGTACTGCTTCTGAAGGAAGGTAACAATGCTCCATGCAGTCATGCCGGCCACATGTCCTTGGAGGTGTCTATGGACAATGCCGGCTCTTCAGCTTAGAAATGGAGATCAGCACCACCCCCCAGAGTCGAAACAACTAGACTTAATGTCAGGGGTAACCATTACCTTTTATAAGGTATACAATAACAACAACAACATTTGTTTCCATGCCATCACTGTCCTTTGATCTTTCAGAGTACTGTTCATGGAAGGTATAACAGGTAAGAACTATTCTTGAAAACATTGCCACTGTGGACAAGTCTACATAGGGACCACCAAACGCAGCATTGCCCAAACACAAATCAAGGAACATGAAAGGCACTGCAGACTACTTCAACCAGAGAAGTCAGCCATAGCAGAGCACCTGATGAACCAACCTGGACACAGCATTTTATTGATGAAAATGAACAAAATCTGGATACCAGTATTAAAAAACTCTAAAATTACAACAGCACAACAACAGAGAGGAAACAAACAAGGACATCTAATCACCTCTCAACAAAAGTTTGCCCTAGGCACTGTCAGGCCATTATATGCCAATCAAGGTGGTCAGTTGAAACATTCACACCTAGCTCCGGCAGACAAGAGTCCTTTGTCTCACCCTGGTCATTCCACAGATATATAAACCCTTTTTCCTAGTTCCAACAGACCTCACTACCTCTGAGGATGCTTGCCATAGATGCAGGCGAAACGTCAGGAGAGAATGCCTCTAGACCATGGCCATATAGCCCGAAAAAACCTACAACAACCCAGTGATTCTGGCCATGAAAGCCTTCGACAAAACATTGCCACTGTCCCATTTTGTTCCCTCTTACACATGCACTGATTGAGTATCCCTTATCCAAAATGCTTGGAACCATAAGTGTTTTGAATTTTGATTTTTTTTTTCAGATTTTCAAATACCTACATCTGAAAAAGCACACATAATGAGATATCTTGGGAGATGGGACCCAAGTCTAAACATGAAATTCATTGATATGCTATATCCACATTATACACATAGCCTGGAAGTTATGTTATCCAATATTTCAAATTTAGCACCTGAAACAGAGTGTGTGTGCACTGAACCATCAGAAATGCATCACTATCTCAGTCACTCATGAGATTTTTTTTTTAAATGGAGTATTTCAGATTTTGAAATTTCTGGATAAGAATCATAGAATCAAAGAGTTGGAAGAGACCTCATGGGCCATCCAGTCCAACCCTCCGCCAAGAAGCAGGAATTGCATTCAAATCACCCCTGACAGATGGCCATCCAGCCTCTGTTTAAAAGCTTCCAAAGAAGGAGCTCCACCACACTCCGGGGCAGAGAGTTCCACTGCTGAACGGCTCTCACAGTCAGGAAGTTCTTGCTCATGTTCAGATGCAATCTCCTCTCTTGTAGTTTGAAGCCATTGTTTCATTGCTAGTCTCTAAGGAAGCAGAAAACAAGCTTGCTCCCCCCTCCCTGTGACTTCCTCTCACATATTTATACATGGCTATCATATCTTCAACTTGTGTTTTCCATTTTTATATTACTACTGTAACCTGCTCTGAACTTTATAATGCAAAACACCTATAAAAAGTATGGGTGAAATAAATCATTTTGTGTGTGTGTGTGTTTTTATTTACTTTGTTTTTGCAGCCTGAACAGCTTCGGGGTTCCTCAGACTCTGTTCCCAGGGTAGATTCCCACATATCCACTGCAGCATACAGTAGCCAAGGATTTCCAGGTCTCCTCGTCTGGACGGCGCTAAATGAAGTAAGGAAACAGAAAAGGAAGAGAGAAAGAAAGAGAGAGAAGCGTAGTTTTATTCCCACTTTCTTTCACACTGTAGGAATTTAACTCTGTAGTTAGATGGAAAAGAAGGGGGGGCGGTGGACCGGACAAAACTGTGTTGTGTTTGTTCAGCTGTCCCAAAACCTTTGAGTTTGGCTGGAGTCCAGAGACAGGGGAGGATTTGTAGCTGTTGAGAGGGAAGGTCGGTCTTCCTCAGCCTTCATCCTTCCCTCGGCTTGGCCCTGTCGCATGAACTTGATCCCCACGGCCTCTGACATGATCCAGACAGCCCATAACCCGGCACCAACACTTTCTCCAAGAGCCAGGCAGTAAAACAAAGAAATAAATGTCTGCGGCTAAATTGCTAACACATGTTCCAGGAAGTCCCGGGGTCCACGTTGGTCAAAAGGAGACCCTTGGAGAACAGACTAAACAATGATGGTCTTTCCTGCTCCGCTAAACAAGAGCCGCTTGGAGATGGAAGGCAGGGCAACAGTACCCTCTAGTGGGCACGAGGTCTTCGGCGGCACCTTCTCGACAAGGCAAGACACAACAAGCGTTCTCTCACTTAGCCCACAAATTTAAACACACTTGGCTTTTTGACCACGAAAAAAGCTCTGTTTGTTCAAGGTATACTTTAAAAAAAATCCTAATGCATTAAAATAGTCGGTACAGATTATTCTGAAGTGTGTACAAAGTCGATGCAAACATATTCATTTCTCTCTCCGTTTTCAGCAAAAGAAATCCTCTCTTCATTTTACAGACAAGGAACAGGAAAAGAACACACAGTGTGGTTATTCCCACGAGCAATAGCTGCATGGAAGACAAGCAATCTGGGATTTCCCATCATCAACTGTACTTTGAAACTCTGGGGAGGTTTCTCTCCATGAAAACAGGGGCAGAATTCTGCACTGCTGTCTCTCACTCGCAAGGAATCAATCCAATGCACCAACAAAACTATTAATAAGAAGATATATCTATTTCTTGCAGCAACTTTTTAAACAGAGGGCCAAGTCACAGTCCCTCAAACTGGTGGAGGGCCAGATTATAATTTGAAAAAAAATGAATGAATTCCAATGCACACTGCACATATCTTATTTGTAGTGCAAAAAACACTTTAAACAATACAATAATTAAAATGAAGAACAATTTTAACAAATATAAACTTATTAGTATTTCAATGGGAAGTGTGGGCCTGCTTTTGGCTGATGAGATAGGATTGTTGTTGTGTACTTTCAAGTCGTTTCAGACTTAGGTTGACACTGAGCAAGGACCAGGTAAATGACCTTAGAGGGCCGTATCCAGCCCCCAGGCCTTAGTTTGAGGACCCCTGTTTTACAGTATTTATTTATTACACCGAAGCCACCGGTGGCGCAAGACTGCTGACCAACAGGAGAATTTGGGGAGAGAGGGTAGAGCTCCCACTGTCAGCTCCAGCTCCCCATGCAGGGACATGAGAGAAGCCTTCCACAAGGATGGGAAAACATCCTCTATCAACAAACAGGCACATAAAATCACTCTCAACAAAAGATTCCCCCCAGGCACTTCCAAGCCATTGAATGCTAATCAAGGTGATCGGCTGAAACATTCACAGCTAGCCCCAGCAGACAAAAGTCCTTTGTCTCACCCTGGTCATTCCACAGATATATAAACCCATTTTTCCTACTTCCAACAGACCTCACTACCTCTGAGGATGCTTGCCATAGATGCAGGCGAAACGTCAGGAGAAAAACTGCCTCCAGAACATGGCCATATAGCCCGGAAAAACCTACAACAACCCATCCTCTATCTTGTTCATGCCCAGCATTATTTTTTTTAACTTTAATTACATTTGGCCCAGCCATAGATCTTAAATGGGTTTTGTGCTATTGTTCAATGTTTATGCTATTTGTGCATGAGATTTATTTTTAATTGCTTTGTATTAGTATTTTGCTTTGTATTGTGGTTGTTATTGCTTGTATTGATGTATTGTGGTCTTGGCCTCATGTGAGCCACACCGAGTCCCTTGGGAGATGGTAGCAGAGTATAAATAAAGTTTTTTTTATTAAAACATCAAACATCCAGATGTCCCCTGGGCAATGTCCTTGCAGACGGCCAATTTTCTCTACCAGAAGTGACTTGCAGTTTCTCAAGTCGCTCCTGACATGGAAAAAGAACATTACAATGGCCTTCCATAGCCTGATGCCCTTCTGCTGTGTTGGACTACAACTCCCATGGACCATGCCCATGCTGGCTGGGAACGATGGAACATTAAGCCAGACACATCTGTCTGATAATATGACATTTCTGTAACTCTCATACTACAAGCATGAGAGGCTGTATTCAGTGAAATGTACAGCAGAGGCACCAGAGGTGTAGCTACACTGTGGAAATAATGCAAATTGACACCACTTTAACTGCTAGGGCTCAATGGTTTAGAATTGTAGTTTTATAAGGTTTTAGCCTTCTTCTTAACAGCGCTCCATGAAGTCATGCTGGCCACATGACATTGGAGATGTCTACGGACAATGCTGGCTCTTCAGCTTAGAAGTGAAGATGAGCACCAAGCCCCAGAGTCAGACACGACTGGGCTTAATGCCAGGGGAAAACTTTTGCCTTTACCTTTAGCCTTCTTTGGCAAAGGGTGATGGTGCTTCAACAAACTACAAGTCCCAGGACCACACAGAATTGAGCGATGGTAGTTAAAATAGTCAAAATGAATTATTTCTAAGAATGTAAAGGGATCCCAGGTTTGCAAACCCAGCAGGTATTGTATTATGAACTTTTATGAAAGGAACTTTGGCACAGACACACAAAAGGCAAATCTTATTTTTTCTAGCTACATCATCATCAATGTAAGTACAAGTAAAGTAACGCAGAATAAGAACTAAATATGGAATCAGTGCAATCAATGAGTTTAAATCATGTGATTTTAATGTTTTCATTAGGTGCTTTTAATTTTTATGTTTCATGTTCAAATGTCCTCTGAATTTATGCTTAGTTATATGATATTTGATTTATGATTTGGTTTATGTATGTAAGGCACTGAATTTTGCAATTATTTTTTGTAAACAGCTTTAAGTGCCCCTAGGGGTGAGAAAAGCGGTATATAAATCTATATAAATAAAAATGTAATGTTTGTTTGTGGGATTAAAATACCTCAAAAACAACTGGACAAATTGACACAAAATTTGGGCACAATAAACCTATCAGGCCAATCAGTGACCATCACTCATAAAAACACTTAAAAAAACAGCAGAAGAGTCTTAAAAAGACAAAAACCAAAAAAATAATTACAACGCATGTACACAAACCTACAAGAAGCACTGCCTGAATATCAAGCAAAAAGCGGGTGCCAGAAACAATATCTTAAGAAAGCTGACTGGCACAACCTAGGGATAACAACCAGACACAGTGAAGACATCTGCCCTTGCGCTATGCTACTCTGCTGCTGAGTATGCATGCCCAGTGTGGAACACCTCTCACCACGCTAAAACAGTGGATGTGGCTCTTAATGAGACATGCTGCATTATCACGGGGTGTCTGCGCCCTACACCACTGAAGAAATTACACTGTCTAGCTGGTATTGCGCCACCTGACATCCACCGGGAAGTAGCAGCCAATAGTGAAAGGACCAAGGCAGAGACATCTCCAGCTCATCCCTTGTTTGGGTATCAGCCAGCACGTCAATGACTTAAATCAAGAAATAGTTTTCTAAGATCTACAGAGATACTCGCTGGAACACCTCAGCAAGCAAGAGTCCATAAGTGGCAGGCTCAAACCCAGCACCTCAATCAATGGCTGATACTAGATGAGAGACTCCCCCCTGGGCACACAGAAGACTGGGCAACTTGGAAGGTGCTGACCACAATGGAGGAACATAGAACCCATCAACACTGCTATATGATGATGTAGACTCGTATAATGAAGTTCAGTTCCATTATATGATTCTACACCATATAATGCAATTTCAAACTGCATTATATGACTGTGTAGATGGGGCCAGAGGAAGCCCCCCTCACCAGTATCAATAGTTGAGGCACTTCCTCAAATATTGTGGTCCCAAACTATTTAGAGCTTTAAATGGAATCACAACAGAAACATAATGGTAGCCAATACAATTCGTTAGAGACTGGTACCATAAGCTATCTACCCTACACACACATTTATAAAGTCTAGAAAGCGGACCCCCTAAAAACTCGGTCCATTTATCCATCGGTCAGTGTGAGTATTGTATCTTAATGCTTGTCAAATAGGAACAATCCTTTTCTCTGAGTAGAAGGGCAATAGGTGAGAATTAATCTGTCCCAGGAGAACCCTAAAGAAGCACCAACACTCTCTATTTTCTTCTCCATGGCATAGCTTCTGGCCTCTTTCAATGTCTGGATGAGGCAATGGTGGTTGCTGCCAGGGGCATCTGAACCTGAGTCAGCATTGGCAATCTCCTGTCTCTGTGGAATGACCCTTGACTTATCCTTGGGTCATATCAAAATACATAATTTTGGCCCCCAGCATACATGACTTTGTATTTCTAGGTGCAAAGATTACTGCAGATGCAGACTGTGGCCAGGGAATCAGAAGACGCTTACTTCTTGGGAGGAGAGCAATGTCCAATCTCGATAAAATAGTAAAGAGTAGAGACATCACACTGGCAACAAAGATCCATTGCCTAGTCAAAGCCATGGTATTCCCCGTAGTCACCTACGGATGTGAGAGCTGGACCTTAGGGAAGGCTGAGCGAAGGAAGATCGATGCTTTTGAGCTGTGGTGTTGGAGGAAAGTTCTGAGAGTGCCTTGGACTGCGAGAAGATCCAACCAGTCCATCCTCCAGGAAATAAAGCCCGACTGCTCATTGGAGGGAAGGATACTAGAGACAAAGTTGAAGTACTTTGGCCACATCATGAGGAGACAGCAAAGCCTAGAGAAGACAATTATGCTGGGGAAAGTAGAAGTAAAAGGAAGAGGGGCCGACCAAGGGCAAGATGGATGGATGG